CCCCTATATTGATCTTTGTTCATCCCTTAAAATTGGATTGCCTTTAACCAGGACCTAGACAGCTTGAGGAATCTTCCCCTAAGCTCCCTGTTTTCAACTTGTAAATCAACTTGCCCTGTTTTCTCTCTTGTAAATTCTTCCTTTTCCCTCCATCCAGACTTGGTCTCTACCTCTGCATTGGTCTCCTTGTTTGAATCTTTTTGTTGGTGGTGTGTGTCCTTTTTCTTCCTAAGTGTGTGGGTTAAAGTAGGAGAGAGAATTAATTTGAGCAGAGGGAAAAGACTGTGTTAAAAATAAGCTGTTGATCCTGAGAAATAATTTGAACTTTCAAGGTCTAAGAAATGCATAAAATTGAAACTTAATTGATAGGCAAGTGATTATGCAAATACTGCTTTTTGCCCATCCCCTTTGGGTCAATTGCATAGTTTTTATAGAATAATTATTCCCAACCAGCATTTTTTCCAGTGTGTAAGATTGTCATTAATTCTCCAAGACAGTCTTTTTTTTAGAGGTTCCTTTTTAAAGTCACTGTGGTTGAAAAGGCAATTATGTGCCTCCTGGCAGTTTTGAGGGAGTAGCTGTTCCCAGATGCGCCGCCAGGACAGACTGCCAAAAGCCCGGAGCGGAGTCGCTGGTGTGCGAACAGCAGAGCCCAGCATGGCCCTGAGTCCCTGGAGTGAGCTGTTCACCCAGTGAATCCCCTCAGTGTTAAGCTTCCTGGAAGTGGCTGGCACAGGAAGTTCTGAGTGTTGCTGCCAAGGTTTGATGTTTGCAGCTTTGAGGGGCACAGTCAGCATGGGGCTCCACCACGAGCAAGAGTTTTAAAACCCCTGGAGAGCCCAAACCGGTCTTGCTCAGTGGTTCGAGTGTCAGCCTGAGCATCCAAGGGTCCTGGGTACAATGGCATGTACTGAGATAACCAGTTCATGTGTCTCTCTCACATTGATATCTCTCTCTCTCTCTCTCTCTCTCTCTCTCTCTCTCTCTCTCTCTCTCTCTCTCTCTCTCTCTCTCCCTCCCTCTCTCTCTCTTTCTCTCCCCCCTTCCCCCCGTCTCCTTCTACTCTCTGAAAAGCAATGGGAAAAATAGCCCCAGGTGAGGGTTAACACACACACACACACACACACACACACACACACACACACACACAAAAGAAAAAAGACGCTAAAGAAAGAGTAAAGGCAAGATTTCAGACACTGACAATGTCCATGTTCTTGGACAATTTGAGAAATTTTTTATTTAATGTATCTGAACTGTGGTTTAACTCTGTCTGTCCATCTCTCTCTGTCTCTGCCTCTCTCTGTCTGCCTCTCTCTCTTCCTACCTCTTTGTCTCTGTCTCCTTTTGGCTAACATATACACAGGTAACCTTGCACCCAGTTTTCCCATTCACTGCCATTCTGAACTTCATACTCCTCTACCCCAGTGTGGACTTAGCTTGCCAGGAGTGGAGGGCAAGAAGTGGCAAGTGGGAGATGTAGCAACAGTGACTCGGTTTTACCCACGTCCCTGGAGACCAGCAGGAGGAGGACTGCAGGGTGGAGGAATAGCAGCAAACTTGCCCAAGTGTCACCAGGGAGGGGATGATGCAGAAAAACAGAGCAAAGGCCTCAGGCCTGGGAGGCAGGCCAGTGCTGCAGGCAGGACTTCAGCTGCAGAACAACACTCTCCCTTGTCTCTTTAGCATGCTACAACTTATAAAGGGATAGCCACAGTTTCCCCTGACCTGGGCAGCCAGCGTGGATGAACCTAGGACAAGGCACCACCCCCTCTCAGAGCTAGAGGCGGCCCAAGGAAGTGGAATCAGGAAGACGTGCTCTGTCTCTTACTGCGCAGCTACGGGCACATTTCCTGTCCTTCATGTCCTTGTCTGTAATGAGATATTTATGTATTTCCTATTGCAGAGATTAAGTGAGACGATATTGGTAAATTATTGGCTATTATTAGGCCAATAATAATAATGGGAGCTGCTATTATTTTTACTCATAAGTACAGGCAAAATTTTCTTCCATTAGTTTTGCAAGACAAGCATAAAAACTTCAAGAATAAATTATATATATCGCCGAAACCGGTTTTGCTCAGTGGACAGAGCGTCAGCCTGCTGACTGAAAGGTCCCGGGTTCGATTCCAGTCAAGGGCATGTACCTTGGTTGCAGGCATATCCCCAGTGGGGGGTGTGCAAGAGGCAGCTGGTCGATGATTCTCTCTCATTGATGTTTCTAACTCTCTAGCCCTCTCTCTTCCTCTCTCTATATTTTTTAAAAGAATAAATTATATGTACCCTGGATATTCAGAGGAATCAGTACAACTTCAGTTTGCCCTCTTAAAGGTTTGATGAACTGAAATCCACATGCTAGACTCAGATCCCACGGCCACCGGGTAGGGAATGCAAAGCTGCTTCGCTCTGCACAGCCCCTGTCCTGGGTCAGCCTCGGATGGGCGAGGTTTCTTTTCCATCTGCACCAAATAGGAAATAGCGCCAAGAACATCATTAATTCATTCTCAGTGGCCTTCACCCCCAGCTTTCCTACTTCTGCGTTTCAAAATATATAAATTGTTTAATTCTCCAAGCTATTCCTTTCATCTTATAAGAACTGTTTCTCCTTTTCTGTTAACAAATCTTCTAACCCTGGCTGGATAGCTCTATTGCATTGTCCTATACACCAAAAGGTTGCAGGTTCGGTCCCAGTCAGGACACATACCTAGATTGTGGGTTCAATCCCCGATGAAGGTGCATATGGGGGGATCTCTCTCTCTATTTTTCTCTCTCTCTTCCTCTCTTCCCCCTCTATTTTCCTTTTCTTCCCTTCCTCTCTCCCTCCCTCTAAACATATCCTCAGGTGAGGACTAAAATTAGAAAAAGAATCTTCTAGAAATCCACATTAGAAAGCTCTAGAGAGGCCGAGACCGGTTTGGCTCAATGGATAGAGCGTCGGCTTGGGGACTGACGGGTCCCGGGTTCGATTCCGGTCAAGGGCATGTACCTTGGTTGCGGGCATATCCCCAGTAGGGGGTGTGCAAGAGGCAGCTGATCGATGACTCTCTCTCATCGATGTTTCTAACTCTCTATCTCCCTTCCTCTCTGTGGAAAATCAATAAAATATATTTAAAAAAGAAAAAAAGAAAGCTCTAGAGAGAAAATATTCTTAAAGATCTCAGGGTTTTTGAATTTTTTTTCTTTGAATCTTTAAGTGCCTTTTTCTTCCCCATTTTCTATTACCTCAAGCACAGGTAACAGAAAATAACCCTCATGTTACCGTTTACAAAAAGACTGTAATTCTCCACGGTTCAGAGAGGTGCAGAGTTCTGAGCCAAAATGCTAGGCTGGATTTTAAACGCCATGTACATTGGTTCCCAGCTGAGCTAATTTTTCATTTGACAGGCATGATTATTCCCGTCAAATGCCTGCAATCAACGTTGATTTTTAGTTTTCTTTGACATCACAGCTATTTTATCAGTACAGTAATCAGAAGTTCTATTTAAAACAAAATTCTTCAGAGCAGTACTTCAGAATATATATTTTCAGATGCCATTTTATCTCTCTGGCCTGTTCTCAAAAGACACTCACCGCTCAGGATATAGCAGGGAAAGGCTTGGCTGTGTTGATAGAAGAACCTTAAGCCTTGCTTAACTTTTATGTTGACTAATTCTAGCCTTAACACAGACAGAGGGATAGGGAAGGAGGTGGGGGAAAATAACTTGGTACCTGATGACTTTTCTTTATTTGTGAAGGGGAGGGGGCGGTGGAGACCTGGGACAGATAAAAAATGGGGAGAAGGAGAGTTGGGTGGGGGGGAGGCTGCCTTTGCAGAATACTTGACTCACCATAACCGCTGTGTTGGCTTTATTTACATTGCACGAAATATTATGACCTGTACTACTCGGAGACTAAAAATGATTTTTATAGCAACAAAGACTTGATTAACACATAGTCATTAACATGTCCTGGATTCTTTGACGTGTCTTTTCAGGTTAGTTCATGTGTTTTTGTTAAACTTGCTTCAGATTTGAAGGGAAGGTACTGGGGCTTCAGTCCACATTCATGAATTCTGAGTTTGGGTTAGCAAGATCTTAGAAAGTAGGAAAGGCCCACTGTCCCAGCACTTTGGAGGGGTCATCATGGGGATAGCGACCAAATGCCTGGCATCCTCAGGACACTCCCAGTGTGAAATCTGTCCCTGTAAGTACACCTGTAGCCTCGGGGTTCGTTCAGTGCAGCCACTGGCACGAGGGTTCAGATCTTATCTTGTTCCCGGGTCTGAGAGCCCAGTGCCCAGCTTCTTTAAGGGTGTGTCGTGCCCTCGGAGGGCATCTTGCACTACAGAAACCCCCGGGAGTCTGACTTATTCCAGGGCCACAGCATAGACACTCCCCCAGCAGCGCCTTTTCGGAGCAAACCGCACAAGTGCACCTGCCATAGGCGTGTCATGTCCCAAGGCAAAAAAGTGCATAGAGGAACCAGGTTGGGGTGGAATCAAAACAGGATTATGAAGGTTTTCCCCAACTGTTCTTTTAGCTGCAGAGCCTGTATGTATAGGGAACCTTAGCATGTAAAACAGGTCACAGCTGAAGTAGGGAGCTAGAAAATGCCTCTTCCCCGACAACACCACCAGTGGCAGGCCTGGGGGACTCCGAGGACCTTGCAGGCAAGCCAGAGCCTCGGGGTGAGCAGCCAGGGAGGTATCTCAGCCAGGCCAGGCCCCCTGTTCCAGCTCTGCTTGTGGAGACGCTCCCTGAGGCCCTCCGGCTGCTTGTCCCCACGCTTTTCTTGGTGTCAGGCAGTAGTCTTCTCCCAGGCCACGTGACTGTACCTTCCAGCCTGCAGGTTCTGTTTGGAGGGGGTGGGCTCTGTAAACCTGGCTCCTCTCGCTCCACTCCGTCCCCTCCCAGGAGCCCCTGGTATGACTGGATGGCAGTGCAGGGCGGCGGGAATGGGCACAGGTCGCTCGCTCTCCTGCCTCAGCCGGATTCCTCCTGATTGCATTTTGTTTTGTTCACTAGATGATGATTCAGATCTGTACTCTCCTCGATACTCCTACTCTGAAGACAGTAAGTGACTTAAAATTCCCTGATCATGGGGAGGAGGAGGGAGCATTGGATAAGGGGAAACATCTTCCTGTTTCCTGTTCTCACCAGTTTTAAATCTTTTGTACCCACTTTCTTCTCCAGCAAAATCTCCCCTTTCCGTGCCTCGCTCAAAAAGTGAGATGAGCTACATTGACGGTGAGAAGGTAGTGAAGCGGTCAGCCACACTTCCCCTCCCGGCCCGCTCTTCCTCCCTGAAATCAAGCCCAGAGAGGTAAGTGCTCCTTCTCCCCGATCTGCTGTGACTTCCGGCTGCCGGGCACAGGGTGGCAGCCGGGTCCCGCCTCTCGCTGCTGGGCAGCACCCAGGGGGTCAGGAGTTGGGTGGCCCTGACCTGGAGTCCCTGCTCTGTCCTGTGTTAGCAGCGACGTTTGCTTTCAGAGTTTCTGTGTTCTTATCTATAGAATGGGGACACGTTTTACATTTGTTAGGGGTGTTGCAAGGACAAGACAAGATAGTGCGTATAACATTTCTCAGTGCCTGGCCAAGTATGGGCTTACTTCACGTTGGCTATAACTCATCACTTTGTACCTTCTCCCCGGAGAAGCCTTGGTTGTAAGCTTTGTCATGTGTTTTTATACCGGTACTCTCTGTGTTTACTGACGGAGCCTGTAGCAGAGAATATAATTTTAGCACGAGTTACACTTTTTAAATCTCAGTTTATTTGCACAGCATGCATTATTGAAACATAGGCGTGGATCGGCTGTGATGATGATGTTAGTCATGTCTTGACACCCGCACAGAATGACCCGATTGGGTCCCGATGCCCATGGAGCAACCCCCTCATGCCATCTGGACTGGTGTCCCTCGCATCTCCCACTGCTTCTCAACACAAAAGGGGCACTTGCCAAAATGAATTACATCTCCTGAAAGACACACTTAGTTTCTCACCTTCCTACCTTTTCCATCTTCGTAGACAAATGAATAGCTATTCTGAAAGTCCCACACATGCGTAAGTGGCATCTGCCTCAGGAGTTCGATAATGAATTTGAAAGGAAGGTTGAGTCTGCCTATAAATTCTTTGCAACTGCATTCATCAAACTGGGTACATTCTGTGTGCAGATGGGACCACATGCTGTGAGGGAATCTCAGCATATATAAATCACCATCCCTGCCTGGCAGCAAAAACTAAATATAATCACAGTGCAAAGGCAGCCATGTGCACGCATAAGAATTCTGCAAACTATTTTCAGGGATTCCTATCTCCTCTGAAACCCACCACTGGATCCAGTTGAATTTGTGTGCCAAATGGTGCAATTTGGGTGATTACTGGGGAGAGGTGTGGAAGAGGGAACAACAAAAGCAAACATTTCTTGAGTGGTTACTGTGGACCTGGTGATTTGCATGCACTTAGTCCTTTGCAACGACCCCATTTTTCAGATGGGGAAACTAAGGTAGCAGCAATAGGTAAGGTGTGTAGCCTGGATCACCAGCTAGCAAGTACTAGCACAGGGATTGGAACCACAGCAGACTGGCTCCAGGACCTGTGTTCTCTCTCCTGCAGGAGCATGAGTGGGAAGTGCAGGCATGTTCAGATGATAAGCTCAGGAGAGTACAGCTTTGCTGCTGCTGCTTCCCTGCTTGCCTCCCTCTCTCCTCTGCTTCCTGGTACCTGGTTTCTGGTACCTAAGGCCTTTTGGGAAGCAAACCCAGAGCTTTAGCTGGTTGTTTTGAGAAGGGGACCAGCACAACTTAAACGCTTTGCACCGATTCCAATTCAATTGGATTTGAAAATTCCTTGATTAGACTACAGTCAGCCAAAATCAGAACGTGTTGGATGCCAATTTTCATGAAAACAGCTCTCATAGGATTCTTTTTCTACAGAAACGACTGGGAGCCCCCAGATAAGAAAGTGGACACAAGGAAATACCGTGCCGAGCCCAAAAGCATATACGAGTATCAGCCGGGCAAGTCCTCCGTTCTGAACAACGAAAAGATGGTAACGTGAATATTCAGGTCCCTTTGTCTCTCCCCGCGTGTTCTTTAATCCGGAGGCATTGTGCGCTTGCATCACGTTCTTTTTCCCGGAGATAGATGTGCTTTGTGTAGGAGACAATGAAAAAAATGAAGTATTTTTACCCTTTTCATTTTTGCAGGTGTTCATAGAATGAGTCCCGAGTCTGCTCTGAGAGAAGCTCGTCTTGTGGCTTTCTGGCGCTTTTCTGCATGGTTTTAACGAATTTAGAATTTTCTACTAACATAAAGATTGATTTTGCTGCTGTCTTTTCTTAAACATCTAACCATTAATTTGGCAAGCTTATTATTAACTGGACTAAATTCGTGGTGGTTGTTTTTTGTTTTTGTTTTTAAATATGCCTCTTATTTGAACACATAAATTTTGTAGAAGGTACTACTAGTACATCACTAAAAGCTAAATAATTAATATGATGTTTTGATTTGAGGGGGGAAAGCCCCGGGCTGTTAAAACAGGCGTTTCAGGCCTTCCTCTTCTGACGCATGCAGTATCGAGGACAAATGTCACGATCAGTCTAATTTATGGTTCATCTCTTCTAAGTGGGGAAGTGGCCTGTGGGGCAGAGCAGACCACCCTGGAACGGGGAAGGATTTGTGCAAACCTATTAGTTTCCTATCTGCCAGTCACACTTCCTTTTGTCCATCCTTCCTTTGAAAAAGCTGGTTCAGAATTCTGATCATGGTTAAAGGGAATCTCTAAAGCTCCGTGACACCGCAGCCTCCGCCGGGCCCACAGGATGGAGCTGTCATGCTGGGAACCGGATCCTATTAAAATGCCGTTACCACACTGAGCACACAGCAAGTCACCCCGAAGGTGTGGGGGCGCACTGTTCTCCCTCTGCCTCTCCCGTGCCACGTGTGTTTCAGGAGCGATTGGCTTCGCTTTGACTAAGATGAAAGTTTGACATCTTTGAAAGCACAAAGGGATCGGTAATTTTAATTAGGGTAAAGCAGCCTGCAGAAATGCTCCAGATTGCCGCTCCTCAGCATTTTCTGTGCACTGCAGTTATTTTAAGCAAAGAGTTCAGAGAGGAGCGGAGAATGATGCCTCTGGCTCCACCCTTCGTTGGAGGCTCTCTCCGCGTTAAAAGATGGTAATCTCAGAAAGTAGCCTTCTGCACAGGTGTTCCAGGAGAGAACGCCGGGCTCTGGGCATATTCCTGACCCTGGAATAACAAGGCAGGACACGCCGTCACATATCAACGGATGGTAACGACCTCAGAGACTGTGTAGACCTGTGGGTGCTTTGTTTGGCAGAATTATTATTTACAGATGGTCACTTCTCTTGAAGCCTTGCCCCTAAAATTCCTTCTTTGTTTTCCCTCCTCTCCTTAGTTTCTAATTATTTGAGCACTAATTCAGAACTAGGAAAAAAAATAACAGTTTTGTTTCGTTTCTTGATACCACAATGGTTACAGATTATCTTCCACGTGTTTACAAACCTGGGGAAGTAACACGTAGTAGCCCATAGGAGCTGTCTTTGAAGACCTGTCCTGATCACACAGGTGGATCACAGAGCACCATCTGTGTTCTTGCCCAGAAGCCCCTGTGCTGTGCCAAGAGCTAGGCCCATCCTGTCGTGGGACGTAAGCGCCAGGGGGCCCATCACATTGCATCCGCGAGCTTCCACTCTGTTAACTCTTCCTCCAGAGACTCCCTTTCAGGGAGAAATTTCAGTTAAACCTCATCTTTGAGCCACTCTTCACGGCAGTCAAGTCAGTCCTTTCTGTTTGATTTCTTTCTCAGCTATCTTTGAACAGAGAAGTTGGAACATTGGTTTCAGTGAGTGAGTCTTGCCTTTTAACATCCTGTATCAGGTTTGCCAGAATTTGAGGACAAACCCCCCACCCCTAGCTACCACACACACACACACACACACACACGTTAACTGTGGATGAGTGCATTAGCTAGCAACAAGTGTAGAACCTAAATTTGCTTTCGGGAATACACAATTCCTTTTTTTTTTTGGGGGGGGGGGGACCATGCTTTTGCTTCCAATTTGAGGTACTCATATCTGCTGAAGCCTGGCCATTTAAGTTGTGACCTCATTGGCACACCTCTCTGCAGTTTGCAGGAAGGTTGAATGGCAGGCTGTAAAGGCTGCCAGAGAGCTCATCTTTATCCATGGAGCGAATGCCAACTACCCAGAGAAATAAAACACTATGCCACCTTCAGAAACCCCACTACTTGGCAAAATCATATGAAGTTCTTCATTGCTGCTCGGCCCCTCTTACCATGGTGTGAATCCACGTTCTTCTCTTCTGGCTGTGGAATTGGAGATTATCGGTCAGGCCGTGCTTGGTCAGGAGTAGCCTTTTCAGGCTTTGTCCTTCTACTTTCCTCCCAAGCCTCTTACAGGACTTGGTCTCAATCCAACAAGTGCAGAGAGAGTGGCTTTCACATGCCACGCCCTGGGTTAGATGTTGGGGGAACAGTGGGAAGGAGAGACCTAGCGTAGGAATTACACAACTTATGTTTGCAACTGTAAAGTCTGTCACTTAGCCCTGTTTTAGCTTCATATCATTTGCAAACTGAGCAGGCCTGCCCCTTCTCAAGGGGAGTGTGAGGAGTACAGTGTGGCTGAAGAACACCGGGACTTAGAAGAACCGAGTTCTGAGTTCAAGTTTCGGAGCAGGTCCTTTAACCTTTCTGAACCTCGGTGTTCTCATCTGCAAGCAGAAGTATTACCTGGCCTGAACCGAGGTCATGAGTGAGAGGATTGAGGTCAAGAATGTGGGCAGAAGAGCCCCAAACATTATGAAGTGCTGTGCCAATCAACGTACCACATTCAGATTACCATTTAGTTGAAAGTTGAAGCTGGTCTCTGGCTCCTGTTCAAGCAACAAAACTGTCCTTGAGGAGAATCAAGCATTTTCCTGGCAAGGCACCCGCCCTTTCCAAGGGTTTTGCCAGCTGGGAAGAGAGGAGCTGGCCACAGAGCACGGAGCCTGGCATTGTGGAGCCTGCCCTGCCTGCCGACCCAAGATCCTGCTGTGCGTCCGGAAGGCCCCGTGCTGTTTGTCCGTCCCACCGCCGATCCACAGCTGAGTTAGACATGGCCCGGTCAAACACAGACAGCACCACTGTGTGGTGTTCCCATCACTTCCTGGGCCAAACTGCTCGCCATACCTCCTGCCTCAGACCCGGCACAGTGTGACCCTCAGCCGTGAGACACTTTGCAAACAACCTTCAGCCATAAAATGGGTTAATTCTTTCAGGACCAAGCACTAAAGCATTCAGGCTGTTTCCTGGAAGAATTGGTACATTTTATTTAAAAAAAAAAAAAAAATTAAAAAAAAAAAACCTAACCTATTCCCAGAGAGCAGCTTATAAATAGTCTCTAATAATAATAAACACAAAACAGGTTTCATGAAACGCCATCGTATAAGGACCTAGGATGCCCCAATGCCTTAACTGTTTTTCCTGAATAGTATAGGTCCCGGGCCTCCTCTCCCTGATGAACACAGAACCCATCACTGTACATGTTACAGAGCCCACCGAGGAGGAGCGCCGAGACCCTTCAAGACCGAAGCCGAAGTCCCTCAGGCGGTGGGGGCAGTTTTAAGCTGGACACTTCCCTCTGGTTTCAACTAACGCATAGTCAGTGAACCTCAGAGGAACGTTCTCTGTCATCTTCCTCCATTTAAAACAAACGTAGGGAAAAGTTCCAGTGACAGTTCTGGTGGAAATAAATATTTTTATTATACTTGAAAGAAATAAAATAAAACGTAGAAATAATAGTAAAGGTTCTTCTAAGGATCTGAGAAGAGGGGAGCGGTGAAGATGTTTGCAGCATCCCTGCAAGCTGCAAAGGCCTGGACGTTATGAGACGGATCCGGAGGAGCTGCTTGGGAGCAGGCGCCCTGAGGAGGCCGCGGCCGCAGCCCTCTCCTCCTGTGCGGGGGCCGAGGAAGTAACATTGCTCACTTACCAGTTTCCACCTCTGAGAAATGTGCATTTCCTATTTCATATCATTGCCGGAAAATCTGCCCCTCAAGACTACCAAGGTTTTTTGAAACATAGAAGTGTATGAATTTAATTAAGCCATGAGCCTCTAACACTTTGTCTGCTGTGAACGTATCTCCAGCTTATTAAGGGGAAACATGATTTGCTTTCCAGGCATTTGTTTTTAACTAATTATTTCCAGAAGCACACGTTATTCCACAGCAAGGTACCAGGACTTCATGAATACTTGATTAAATGTGGAATCCCATCGGTCCATTATCACTCTATGTGAACTTCCTCTTAGAATCCTGAAAAGTGGGAAATCTAACTTATTTTTGTAACATAAGCCAGAAGGTTTTCCCTCCCCTGTTCTGCTATCTGTCTTGTTCAGCTTTTCCCTCACTTTAATTTTCCCGGCTCTTTAACATTTACTTGTTAGAACATAAAGTATATTCTATCTGTATCCATCCCCTCTGGGGCTTGTTTAAGATGTTTCTTCACTCGTGTCCTCTGTTGTTACTTATATCATCTTTCTCTTGACTGTGTAAGGGACATGGTTTCTCACCTACTCATGTGCCATTAAAGATGCAGTATTAACAAATTGGCTTGTATGAAAGTGTCGAAATTTGCGTTTATTTTGAAAACCTTAAGGCAGCCTTGCAAATAAGTACTAAAACTGTACTAGCCCGTAAAAATTGTTTGCTCTACTCACATAGCGTAAATGGCTCAATGTTTGGTGTGCTCACCAGGATATTTGCTCATAACTAATAGTTGTTTGTGAAGAGGCAATGAGATCCTCCTTTTCTCCCACAATATGGAGATACTGCTGTCCCCGCATTCGTATCCGTGGTGGGGGCAGCAGTGTGATGCAGAGTTCCCCATCCACGCTCTGTCCTCCTGCCTTGGGGCTGAGCGTGATGCACCCACAGCTCCCTCGCTCAGGGGCCCTGTTTTATAAACACATCCTTCCCCACCTGTTTTAGCTTCCTTATGTTGCCCGTGTCCATGGAAACAGGGGAT